GTAACTCTTTGCTTTTTACTATTTTATTTCTAGGCTACAACTGGTTTAACGCCCCAAAATCAGTTGGTTTTGGGTTTGGGTAGAGAGGAGACTTGGGAAGGAAGTAAGTAAACGTATGTACTGCCAAGTCTGAGTAAATTCAACGAAGACCTGACCGGTTCCTTCTAATTGTTTATTGTCTGGTTCGCATTTGGCCATGGTGGTGGCATTTGCTCTTTTGGTTTAACTTTCTAGGTTTTAGGGTGGTTAAATTTTCGCTCTTTTATCTGGTCAAATTTAGTTTCTATCTAAGTGGCGATGCCGCGCCTTTTCGTGGAGCGTAGATGACATTTGGACATGTATTATGTGATCCGTTATAGTGTTTTGTTAGTATTATTATTCTAAAATTAATTTTTTGTTAGTAGTTTTAGTAATATTGGCTAATAAATTATATTTACTTAAACTCAAGTAGACCCATTGATTATGGGTAGGGTATGAGTGACGTATATATGAGTTTAAAAGTTTGTCTATGGGTTTGCGTAGGGTATGGATATTTACTTACATAATCTAAATATATGAGTTGGGTATGAATACCCATTTATTCGAGGATGTTTTATTTACACATACAAAAATTAGACCTATTTATAGAACTTCAAAAGTTTAGGTACCAAAATGTAATACACAAAAATTATAGGTACTAAAAGGTAATGTTCCATCAATATTTTGAGCACTATATGCCAAAAAATAAATTTAGGTTATAAATCTAAACATCTATAATGTTAGATACTGAACTGTAATTTGCATAGTTGAGGCTTAATTCCTTTTATAGTGATGTATTTAAAATGATAATTATTTATTTTTTTATAGAAAATGAAAACTATTTATCTAATATGTCTAGATACCTAGCCAAATATTCCATGTATAATTGTTGAAAATTCTAGCCCGGCTGAAAAAGAAAAACTCTAGAGAGAAGTAAAAGGAATACAAACTGGAACTCGCTTAAGATTTCATGCCTTCAAATCCAGTAGTGGAAAATGACGGACTTGTAATAAGTAATAACCATATATATTTTCTTTTAATTGGACTCGACATTGAACTGAAAAAGTTAGTGGTTCATGGTTCAATTATTAATTCTCTAGACTGTTGGTCAGTCGTGCATGGACTCGTTCATACTTGTGATTAGAATGCATAAAAATAATAGTATATTAATTAGAGTCGGACGAAGAAGGCAAAGAAAGAAATAAAGAAAGCGTTATGGAAGGCGAGTGAAAAATGAACGAAGAGTAAGTAGATGGTGGAAAGGTTTTGACCAATTCTTTTAGTTGGCCGTCAATACAACAGTCAACCCCTTTCACCGTAACAATTTATTGACACTTGCTTATGTAGATGTCGCATATTTTGTTACATGTAGTTAGTAGAAGTTTATTTAGTACCCTGTAAATGTACTAAATGAGTTTATAAATTCACTTTTTCAATATTTTAGAGTCTTATCTCTTTTATCATTTATTTTATGTTTCACATAATGAGCAAATATAAAATGGTCGATTCTTCTCCTACTATTGAGTGATAAAACATATTGTATGGTACAAACTAAATTTATACTTTCACGTTATGGTGGATTGGATTCATGGATTGGTGGATTGGATTCATGAATTTAAGTGAAATCTACACATTGGACCAATATGTAAATTTAAAAAATTGTAGATACCAAAATCTCATAAATTTAGATATCAAAACGTAATTGTTCAATGATTTTACATTAAAATTAAATTTAGGTATCAAAATGTAAAATGTACATTATAGTGACTAAATTATAATTTAATTAAATTTGGGGTATCAAAATGTAAAATGTAAAAAAAGTGAGGTTTAATATATTCAAAGAAGAAGTGAGGTACTAAGTTGTAATTTATTAGGCAACAGTAACTTCACTTCTTTTTTATATATATTAATAACCAAGTGGCGGCAAACAAAGAGAGTCTAAAAGTCTAGACAGAAAGAAATAATGTCCTATTTATTTGTAACACTTTTGAAATAAGAGCCTCCAATAACAAGATGATAAAGGCTTTTGGGCGTTGAATATTATACAAGTGCACGATAATAATATTATACTTTTTGAGTATCTTAAAAAAACAATAACACGAAAATTGGTCATCATAGGACAATTATAGGATTACAAACAAAAGTATAAGTAGAATTTGAAGGAAAGGTGAAGGGCGGTAAAGAGTAAGTCAATTTTAAGAAACAAACGTCAGATTTCACTTATAAAGGTTCATCTGATTGATCATTTGCTGAAAGCAACCACCCGTTTTCTCCAATAACAATGTGTTATAACATTTTCTCGTAGCACATAACAAGAAGTCCTACTTCTCTTTATGAGTGTTTTGTTGTGCACCAATACTTGTATGGAATATGGAACCCAAAATCCCAAACAGAATTGCAATTGCATGGATGTATCATTCATTCACAAGCCTCCTTTCTGTTTTATTTCTTATTATCCTTTTGTTTGTGGAAAATGAAATGTAGGTTGTTGATTGTGATATGCAATTCGACTTGAGAAAATTTGGATAACCGTGAATACCAGAACCTGATCCAATATGGATATGATTTTGACATTCTACTCGATTTTTGTATGGAAAAACCCGAAATACTTTGAGTGGGGTAATGGATATGCACTATCCGGTCCCGTCTCAACGCGTTATCATCCCAATTCTTTGCCATGTGAAAGTGAGATGTATCTCGTTTGAGATGTAACGCGTTATCTGACCGAAGACCACACATAATTGTTTTGAATTCGGTCCGAGTCTCAACTAGACCAGATTATATGGTCTGATTTCATGTTAAACCTGAAAACCAGGACCAAATAGACACACCTAACTCCTATGGATTTCATTTAGCTCTCATTACTAGAAAAATTGTGTTTTTTTTCTCATGACACTTTGGGAATGAATATTTATAAATTTAGTAGCTTAACACGTATGTAACTGTCGTAACACAAAAAAATGGATTATGTTTTAAGAAACGATTTTAGAAATTTTTATTTTATTAAATATGATAAAATTGGGCAACGTCATTTTTTTGAAATGAGCCTCTAGTATCGATTGGACCCCTACCACGGATCTACAGCTACTCTCGAGTGCGCGGGGGGAGGGGGGGGGGGGGGGGAAGGGTGATTTCTTACGTTACGTGTAAAGTCGAGGATACTTAGAAAATTTTGTAAAAGAAAAGTTAAAATATGTTATGTGAACAAAGGATGCATAAGTAATAAGTGAGTCCAACGAATCGGGAGCTTATTTTCCCAGTTTTTATGAGTGTGTTTAATTCTTGGTTGCAACGTTTCTTTGTTCCTTTTTTCAGCTTTGATGTGGTTGAACTATTATAACTTTATAATAAACCCTTTTAAGTCATTTAAAGATCAACTAAGTTCTTTGATTTGTATATTTTATTTTCTCAATTATTTAAGTTAAAACTATTCTTAGTGACAAAAGTTTAAGACTACTTTTGGTGGATGATGAATAATATTTTTCTCTCCAAATATTGATATAAGTAGATGCTCATTTTTTAATTCTAAAAATTGGATGTGTTATGCAATATTGAAATGAATTATTAATTTGTTTATTCTATTTTTAATTTATATTGAACCTACTAAGACAAATATTTTAATTTTATATCTAACTTTTAGTAAAAATATGACATATTACACGCCATTCATCTTTAAATAATGAGAATAGGATGACTACTCAACATTGAAATTCATTGTTATATATTTATTACTTTTGGATTCATGCCTCAGCGCCTGATGCCAATAATATATCACCGTAAAAGTTAGATAGTTTCACATACAATTTAAAACTTAATGTTACGATTTTTATGATTTTTTGTCAAGACAGAAGTGATAATCTCGTTTGCACGGGTTTTTTTTTTTGGATTGTTGCTTTCCATTCTCGAATTTCCTCTGGATTTCGTTTAGTGCTATAATTTCTTGCTAAACTGGAAGCGATAATCAGGCTTGTGCTGTTTGTTTCGGATTTGTGTTTTTCATTCTTGAATTTGCTCTGGATTTTATTCGAGCGAATATTATCCGAGATAGTAGGCTATTGCGAGCTAGGGGCTCATTAGATTATACAGTTTGAAGAGCGAAAGATAAATATGAACTATGAAAATTTCTCTTGCTAGGAATGTTTACCGCGTCTTCTTGTTCGCATCGAGTATGAAAGATCATACTTTTGATAATGGCTAATCTTAAAGTTGTGTCCCCTTGATTTCTCAATCATGTAAACGATGAAGAAGAATATATCAACTTGTTTAAGTTGCTCCATAATATGAGAGAACATGTAATTATAAACATACTTAGTTTAAGTTAATTTAATTTTCTTCCATCATATTTTGATACATAAAACGTGTTTATTTGATTTTATTGCAACAAAATGGAGCTGGCAATGAGAATGGGTTTATATTCCAGGTGTACGGAACAAGAAATGATGATGAGAACGCTTTTCTTGAAACAAATGAGGCTTTTTAGTTGCAAACTTGCAATAGTGCAAGATAAGATTTGATCATCACTCGCCTGTCAATACGTAACTTTGCGTTTCTCGTGAACAATGGAAGGAGCTGCGCCGGGGGCCGCACCCCCGGTCGCCGGTCAACATGAACCTAACGGGGGTATCCGGAGGGCTCCGCCGACTACCTCCTCCCCAAACGCCAAAGGAGATCGCGAAACTCAGCAACCTAAGAAGAAGGCCAAACCTATGAGAGAAAACCCGTTGTTTAGTGACGAGGAACCGATGGAGGAAACTTTCTCCCCAAAGTCGGGGACGAACCTTTCTCCGCAAAGAGATCAGAAGAGGACGGCTTGGACGGGGAGTGGAGCACGTAAGCTTTTCAACGACCTGCATGCCGAGGATGACTGGTACGTCGCGGAATCTGATTCGGAAGATGTGGCTGCAGCTATGCGTGAGGATGATCTGGATGATGTAGTCCCTGAAGATGATGATCCACGCTGCCCTACAATAGCGTACACGGCTATGGAAAAACAGAGATGGAGGCGTCAATGGCGATCGGCACTGATTGTTTTTGTGCTGGGTCGTACATTCCCGTATCCCGTAATATCGCGAAGGTTGGAAACGCTCTGGGCAAAATGCGGCGTGCTGCAAATCTTAAGTCTCTCCTATGGCTTTTATGCCGTACGTTTCTCCAGCCAATTTGATTACGAACAAGCTGCCATGGGAGGCCCTTGGATGATTGGTGATTATTACATAACGGTTCGTCCATGGCGCCGCAATTTTAACCCTAAGCTAGCTGAGGTGGCATCTACTATGGCTTGGGCGAGGCTACCGGGACTCCCTAGCGAGTTCATCAACAAGGAGGCAGTGGAACGTATCGCGTCAAGAATCGGGCGACCAGTGCGAGTTGACAGGGCTACTCAGCTAGGGAGCCGTGGACGCTTTGCCAGGGTCTGTGTGGAAGTGGACCTGACAAAGCCATTGCTTTCGCAGTACAAGATAGAGGGAATCACTTATTATATCGAGTATGAAGGTTTGCACCGTATTTGTACTGAATGCGGAATGTATGGCCACATGAGAGTGACATGTCCAAAGCTGTTTGAGGTTATAGAACCAGTGGTCGAACCAGAGAACAAGACAACAGAAGAGGTCACCAAACGACCCCTTTACGGGGAATGGATGACGGCGAAGCCAAAGTGGAAGAGCTCGAACGGGAAACAATTTGAGAAGAGGACTACTGAGAAGCAGCAACGTGGCCCTTCCGTTACGGAAGAGATTGAGCAAACTTCGGGGTCGCGATTTGCGGCACTGAACGAGGAGGAACAGATGCATACGGACTCGGGCTTGAAAGAACCAAGAGTAGAGCACCAAGAGAGTGTGGTGGTAGAGAAGCCAGGAGAAAAGCAGGCGCTCCAACCTGACTCGGCTACACCGCCAGAGAAACGATCGGCTGAATTCCAAGATGTTCGGCCTATTGACGAGATTAGTGGGATGGACAAGGTGGATGAGGCTTCAAATGCTAGAATTGACACGCAAGGCAGGTCTCCTCCAATTCTTCAGCCCAAGAAGGGGCCAATTGCTATACAGGTGAATCTGAAAGGGCAGTCGAATGGTGGGAAAGGGAAGGTTTCGAAGAGCCCCAGCAGCAATTCCAAGCTGAAAGGTGACATGGGTGTGCAGCAAAGTAGCCGGAAGGGAGGGTCGGGAACAAAATCTGTAATGACTGAGGGCGCGGGGAGCCTATCCCCTTCAGGGGATAGATGAGGATCCTATGCTACAACTGCCGTGGATTGGGGAATAAGCGAGCAGTTAATTCTTTGCGAGCACTTGTGCGTCGCACTTCCCCCCATGTGGTTTTCCTCATGGAGACGAGACAAACTGTTGACGAAAATGGAGCACTACGAGAGCTATGTGGTTTTAAAAATGGGGACTGCTGGCCAGCAACGATTACTACGAGAAATAAAGCTGGCGGAGTTAGCATTTGGTGGGGTGAGGAGCTGACGATTACCCGAGTGGACTTTTCATTGAACTTTATTGACATTGATGTCGAAGAAGAGGATGGGACTAGGTGGCGTTTTACTGGACTATATGGCTGGCCAAAAGGGAGTGAGAAGTGGATGACTTGGGACCTGCTTAGGCGGCTTGGGCAGCAGTGGGATGGACCTTGGCTGTGTGGGGGTGATTTCAACCAAGTCAGAAGCGCTGAAGAAAAGAGTGGTGGAAGGTGTGTGCATGAGCCGGAGATGAGTCGTTTTGATGAATGCCTGATTGACACTGGTCTTCAGGATTTGGGCTACCATGGGTATCCCTACACGTGGGAGAATCGCCGGCATAGAAATGACTTCATTGAAGAAAGGTTGGATCGGTTCGTGGCCAATGATAAATGGAGAGAGCTTTTCCCAAACAATCATGTTCAGCATTGGGACCGGGCAAGTTCAGATCACCGGCCGATTATTTGTGATACTCGAGGGTCGGAGGATGTCGAGGTTAAGTGGGGGCGGACCTTTCGATTTGAGCCGCACTGGTCAAAATATGAGGGTTGCTTGAAAACTATAGAAGAGGTGTGGTGTAACTCGGGCGGCCAGGATTTGCTAGCAAAACTTGATCATTGTCGCTCTCAGCTGACAAATTGGAGTGAAAAGGAATTCTCACCTTTTGCCAAGCAGAAGCAACGTATCACTCGTGCAATTCGGGCACTAGAACGTCGACCCAAAACTGAGGAAGTGCTTGCTCAATGCCGCCAGCTGGAGCAAGAGATGGCAGAAGTGTTGGATAACGAGGAACAATATTGGAAACAGAGGTCTAGAGCGGATCGGTTAAAGGGTGGGGACAAGAATACTAACTATTTTCACCGGAAAGCCTCGGCGAGACGGAAAAGGAATACCATCAGAAAATTGAAAAATGATTTGGGTCACTGGTTTGTTGGTCAAGAAGAAGTGTCTCAGTGCTTGGTGGAGTACTATGCTGAGCTGTTCACCGCCAGCGCTTTGCCGCAGGATTGGCCGGTCCTTGATGCCATTCCACAGCGTGTGACGGAAGAGGACAACTCGCGCCTGCTTCAGCCGTTCACTAGGGAGGAAGTATTTGGAGCCCTGAAGCAAATGGGAAAACGAAAGGCTCCTGGGCCGGACGGTTTCACAGTTCTTTTCTTTCGCAGGTACTGGCATGTAATTGGCGAGGAAGTCTTGCTAGCCATCCTGAAGGTTCTGGAAACGGGAGTGATGCCAGAGGGCCTCAATCACACCCTCATCGCCTTGATTCCAAAAACGAAGAAGCCAGTTTCCCCAAAGGAATATCGCCCGATCTGCCTCTGTAATGTCATGTACAAAATCATTTCGAAGGTCCTAGCAAATCGGCTAAAGTCAGTATTGGATAGGATTATTTCCCCTGAGCAGAGTGCCTTTGTTCCTGGGAGATTCATCACGGATAATGTTATGGCAGCATTTGAGTGCTTCCACACTATGAAAAAGAGCAAGAAGCGCAAGCAGGGCTATTTTGCGGCGAAAATCGATATGGCGAAGGCCTATGATAGGGTGGAATGGAAGTTTTTGGAGGGAGTAATGCAGAGGATGGGGTTTGCGGAAGGCTGGATCAAACTCATAATGATGGGGGTGACTTCGGTGTCGTACTCGGTGCTAGTGAATGGCCATGCTTCCCAGACTTTTGTTCCCAGCAGAGGAATTCGGCAGGGCGACCCCTTGTCACCCTATCTCTTCCTGCTCTGTGCGGAGGGATTGTCGGCATATGTAACGAAGGCAATGTCTGAAGGCAGATTACATGGCCTTCAAGTGACAAGGGGTGCCCCGGTGATTACCCATCTTTTTTTCGCTGACGACAGTATCTTTTTTGCCAGGGCCACACAGCAGGAGAGTCTGGAGTTGAAGAACATATTACAGGCGTACGAGAGGGAATCTGGCCAGCAGGTGAATTACCAGAAGTCTGAAGTCTCTTTCGCTGCGAACGTCAAGCCCCACAGCAAGCTGATCGTTGGTGGAACCCTTGGTATGGCTATTGTTGAGAAACAAGATAAGTACCTCGGTTTGGTTACTGAGGTCGGGAGATAAAAAAAAGAGCTGTTCGTGGGTCTGAAGGAGCGGGTGAGGAAGAAGCTGAAGGGATGGAAAGAGAGAACTATGTCAGTAGCTGCTCGGGAGACTCTTATTAAGTCGGTTGCCCAGGCACAGTTGAGCTATGCCATGTCTGTGTTCAAAATCCCGGACGGCATCCTGGACGAGATCCATAGCTTAATTATCAACTTTTGGTGGGGTCAAAAAGGAGTTGAACGCAGAGCGCATTGGTTGCGCCGGGCGGAACTTATCACCCCGAAGGAAGAAGGAGGGATGGGTTTTCGGGATATGAAAGGGTTCAACATAGCTTTGCTGGCAAAGCAACTGTGGTCCTTGAGCCAACGGCCAGAAGCACTTATCTCTAGATTATTGAGAGCCAAATACCATAAACAGTGTACGATTTTGGAAGCTCGGCTTGGCAGCCAACCCAGCTATATCTGGCGAAGCATCATGGGTGCCCAAGATTTCCTATGCCAAGGCCTGCGCTGGAGAGTTGGAAATGGTGCCCAGGTACGGATCTGGGGCGACAGTTGGTTGCCTGATGGGGAGTTTGCTTTCATTAATTCAGCCCCGAGAGTTTTGCCGGTGGACGCTGTTGTCCGCGAGCTTATTGACCCGGTAACCGATCAGTGGGATGCTGAGTTAGTTGGGAGGTGCTTCCCGGCGGAGATTGCTGCAGCGGTATTGGCTATCCCTCTCCGGTCCATCAACGAGCAGGATCGTCTGGTTTGGCGGCATACCTACCATGGTAGCTATACTGTTCGAGATGGCTATAGTAAATGGCTGGACGATTTCAAGCAGAGGGAAGGCATAGTGGCGCAAGGAAATTCCGATTTTTGGAAGAAGGTCTGGAAACTTAACGTACCGCCAAAGGTAAGGCATTTCCTTTGGAAATTCAGTCAAGAAATTTTGCCAACGGGAGTGAGGGTGAATGCAAAGAATGACCAGCGCAGCGAGATATGCCCCTTCTGTAATGAACCTGAGACTCAGAAGCACTATTTCCGCGAGTGTGCGTGGAGCTCTAGGATTTGGAGGGCATCGCCCTTTGCGGGGCTGTTCGAGGTTCAGAATGCTGGGAACTGCTTGGAGTGGGTGGCAGAGGTCATGAAGGAGGCCAGTCAAGCAAGAGTGGAGGGTTGGGTGATGCTTCTGTGGGCGTTATGGAAGGAGCGAAACGCGCAACTATTTAATAGCGCAAAGTGGCCGGAGCAAGAAATTGTACTGAAGTCCCTGAGTCTCCTAGAAGAGTACCAAGTGCAGCAGCAACGAAATGACAGTATTACTGCAAGTTCTGAACAATCGAAGTGGAGAAGGCCACCGACAGGTTGGACAAAGGTTAATACAGATGCGGGGATGCTGGCAGGAGGAGGTATTGGCCTGGGGGCGGTGATCCGTGGTCATAACGGCAGGATAATAGCGGCGGCAGCAAAGAATATCAGAGGTAACCACAGCATAGAGATGGCGGAGGCTCTTGCAGCGGAGTTTGGAGTTCAAATAGCCAATCAACTGGACACTCCCCGGGTTGCGCTTGAGGTAGACTCTTTATGCCTTGTTCGACATATGCAGGAGGAAGGAGAAGCCATTTCCGAAATGGGCATCATCTGCCGCAACATCAAGAAGCTTTTGAGGAGACCAGGCAGTGCTGAAGGCGCCATCAGCCACATCCGACGAGAGGCAAACCAAGCGGCGCACATTATGGCTCATAGCAAGACTAACTGGGAGATGAGAGAAGTTTGGCTCGATAGAGCGCCTGTTTTTCTGTTAGACCAGCTACGTCTGGATGATGTAGCCATTGACCTGATTTAAGTCTCTTACAGGTCCCGATCAAAAAAAAAAAAAAAATCACTCGCCTGTCAATATTTCTTTGCATTCATTTTCCCAGTTTTTATGAGTGTGTTTAGTTCTTGGTTATAGCGTTTCTTTGTTCCTTTTTTCTAGCTTTGATGTGGTTGAACTATTATAACTTTATAATAGACCCTTTTAAGTCATTTAAAGATCAACTAAGTTCTTTGATTTGTATATTTTATTTTCTCAATTAATTAAGTTAAAACTATTCTTAGACTGACAAAAGTTTAAGACTACTTTTGGTGGATGATGAATAATATTTTTCTCTCCAAATATTGATATAAGTAGATGCTCATTTTTCAATTCTAAAAATTGGATGTGTTATGAAATATTGAAATGCATTATTAATTTGTTTATTCCATTTTTAATTTATATTGAACCTACTAAGACAAATATTTTAATTTTCTATCTAAATTTTAGTGAAAATATGACATATTACACGACATTTATCTTTAAATTCTGAAAATAGGATGACTACTCAACATTGAAATTCATTGTTATATATTTATTACTTTTGAATTTATATTCAACCTATCATGCGACAACTTTTTGTTTCGTTCTTATTTAAAGTGATTTTAAACATCTTGAAAAGCGAAATTATCGTAATATTGAGAATAGTTTCTGTTTTTATTATTTTGATGAATTGGATTCTCTTTATGCGCTAAGAGTAATAAGCAACTTCCCCCAGCCAGAGCACCAAATTATGTCTCCACCCTGCTGGCAACAATATAGCACTGTGAAAGTTAGATAGTTTCACATACAATTTAAAATTTAATCTTACAGCCGTATATTTATTGCAATGAAAGAATTCAAATGAATCAAATATAGTACTCCCTCACTCATACAAGACCAACCTAGTCATGAGAATCTGGACAATGAGCCTGTTTTTACAAAAAAATAAAATATTAAAATATTTTTGTATAAAATAAAGATACAGAGTAAGCCTATCGATTGAGTTATATAAAAAAAAGAACCAGATTTGAATTTGGAACAAGTTATCCCAGAACCACCACACACAAGTTTCTGTATTGGGTATGAGTTTCGACTGTTTAGGCTCCTTCGTGTTGTTATTGTTTGGATGAAACTTTGTATTTCTCTTTTCCAAACTACATACTCCCATTTAGGCTTTTCCCCATCCCGTTTGGGCTTTTTCAGCCCAAAGCAACATATTCAGATTATATGAGCTTACTTTCATTTTAAATTCGGCTATTGGGAACAATTCAATCTGAGCTTACCTATCGCAGAAACAATTTTTCGTAGGCCTATAATCCAATTGTCATATAAAAACGACAATAAGTTTGGGCTTCATCCAACAAATTTGAGTTCTATAATGTAGCTCCCTAGTCTCTAGACATGTACATTAAATTAGGAAGAAAATGACGGCCACCAAGTATTGGGGAAACATAGGCTCAAGATAGGGTGCACCCATCAATAACCAAATCTGGACCCTTCATTTAGAAAATCCAGATTTAAGGATGGAGAATTAAAGACCATTTTTATTTTCACTAGTTTTCTTAATTGACTCATATCTTTTTCGTTTTAACTTGGATTTTAATTTTTTTTTGCACAGATGGAACGAGTTCATCGTGCTCTACAAAATGAGATCAATTTTCAATATTTTTTGAGGAAAAAAAATTCTGGCCTTCCGGTACCAACTGCATACCATATGGTATTTTCTTCGTTTTTCATTCGTTTTTGAAAACGTTTGCACAGCAGGGACGAGTTCATCATGATCTATTTGATCTACAAATTTCTGGGTGAACAAATTACAAGACCAAAAAATACCACACAATACCATACAATACCACCATGGTACGGGGTGGTATTTTATGGTATACAATGTTAAAAGTCGTAAATGACAATTAATATACTTCTACTATCATGTATTCAATCATCCTACAGTCTTGGTTTGTGCCATACCACCATGGTACGCTTTTCAAACCATAGGTATGCTCTTATTTCAATACCAGTCAATATCATATGGTATAGACTGGTATAAAATGACTCAATTTTTTTTGTTCGAAAAATATATCAAAGTGGATATCATTTTGAAGAGCACAATTAATCTGATCTAACTGTGCAAAAAAAATTAAATTTCGACTTAAACCGAGTGAGAAATCGTTCGTCAAAGATTAAGGAGGGGAAAATTAAAGGCTTTTAAGGAGAGAGAGGATGCTGATGTCATGCTGATGTGGGCGGGTTACTCATAGTTACTCACCATAAGGTTACTGACCTGATCCATTCCCGGAAACATATATATCTGGGTTATCATTAATATATGTCTAGTTGATACCAAAAAATAATTTGATAGAGCTACGTTATTGAATTGATATCCAGGAGAAAAATAATATATGGGGTTGGATCCTTGTTCTATGAACATAGATTTTGCAATGAGGTTAAGTAGGCCACTTTAAAATATTGCTTTTCTCCTCCGTAAATTTCTTTTGTGAAATGACCACCAATTCCTTAACTAACATGTGCATCTGTGTACCAAATTAGTATGTTGCTGCATACGTATATATATTTTATCTCGAATAAAGCCATCAACAATTTGCATGCTCTAACATAAAGCTTATTTTCCTCTCGAATGAGGCTACCTGTAAGTACTTGTAAAATATCCGCAAGTGTTTTCACTCATGCTATGAACTAATTAACGCAAATAAATATATTTGAAGATGCGAATTAAATGTGGATTCTAATTTAATATATACGAGTTGTGGTCACATAAGTGATACTGATTTCACATTGGTATTATGATTAATAGTTTGCACTTTTTGTAAGGTTTATGGGAATTGTGTGTTGTATTATTAACAAGAAGGGTGTTTATAACCCAGGTTACAAGCATACTAATCATATACAACTAGGAAAGGAATACATGTATTACAAGGAAACTATAACTCTGAATCAACTCTATTACGCTCCCACAAGATAGAGGTAGCGTCAGCGACAGGGAGTCCAATCTTGGAACACGGAAGTCGAAACTGAGCATGAGGCAAAGGCTTAGTAAGCAGATCGACAAGTTGATTAGTGATAGGAACATTGAAACATCCCACTACTTTGAACTTGGAAAAAACATTTCCACCCCGGGGTATAATTAAAAAATCTCAAATGACACAACTTTAAATAAAATACCAAACTCAAATATCTTAATATCTCAAATCGAAGCCCTAAACATGTGGGCAAAACTCAAATCGTCCAAAAGAAATGAATCTACAGTCTTTAACTCTTAACCATAAAGTCTTAATAACTTGAAAAAGTTCTTCGATGCTTACTCTAACGCTTGGCTCGACATCTCTCAACGACGATGGTGTTGAGCTCCTCTAGTTTGCTGATCACAGACTGGCTGGTTAGGATTTCCTCCTCTACGATCTGGTTAGTGAGTTGGGGTCAGTCTACACCCTTACGTTCGAAATCTCTAGCATTTCTTACTTAAGAACTTAACTTAAACTGGTGGATGATACTTCCACTCTTTAAAATTTTATTCTTAAAGCTCAAATCTCAACTTAAATATTTGACTGACACTGGGATCCCTAACTAGCTAATCCGGTTGCCAACTCATACGTATGAGAGCCCATCCAGGCTATCCTTAAACTTATCGTGGTGGCTCTTTACCATGATTCTCAAGAGCATAACTGCTGCTCATCTTAAAAATCTCGCGAGCATAACTGCTGCTCGTCTTAAAAAGTCTCAACAACATAACTGCTGCTCTATCTCAAAGATCTCAAATGGCAACGAACTGATGCTAGTGACTAAAAACACTTAAAACGACCTCACCTTCTTAAAGGTGAGTTACTTCTAAAAACAAAGAACTTGGTTCTTACACTTTAATGTAAATAACAACTCATACAATAATCACTCTACACAAAGCTCATACATAGCACACATCACCAATCATAAATACAATCAAGCAATAACAATCACTTCATCAAAATACTTAAGGCTCGTCAAACTTGAAAGGACACGTAAGGCGTAGAATCTACCTCATTTACACTTACCTTGAAAAGATGACTCCTCGATTCCTTACTCGAAGAAATCCCTCCTAGCTGAATTATCTCGGCGAACCTATTAATAAGAAGGTCATCTCCTTAGTTGACCTTTCTCGATTTAGAATTCCATTTAGAATCACTAGAACATCCTCTCCTCAAAGTCTAGCCCTCGAGGCTTGCTCCAAAGGTCCCTTAACCCCCATTAAAATTTTTCTAGAAATAATCTCTTCTAAACCGACCATTTTTCCTAATCAATTTCATTTTGGACGAATTTTTCACCTAACTTGAACCTTCTTAAAAATTCGGATAATAATTTTTCTATCTCAATCATAAGCACCTATACTCTGGAAAATTATCAGACCCTTAAAAATCCCTCGGAAAGATTTTAATTTAATTAAAACAAATATTCGAAAAATTTCTAAAAATAGAAATACATCTTCAAATATCCCCAAATTAAACCAAAGACATATCCTAGTCCTCCCTCAATTTATAAAATTACTAAACCCAGGAAAAACCACCCATAGTGACTCGAAATAATTTAAAACGTCTAAAATAAGTTTCTGCAAATTCCCAGCAACTTTAGCGACCACCCAAAATATGTCACTAAAAGCCTGAACGCCTGTTGCTAAAATCTCAGAATTGCACCCTCACGAAAAATCCCCAAATTAATCGACCTAACTCAAAGGGATCGAGTTCCCTTACCTCTAGAACGTGCCTAGGCCTAGGTTGGATGACCCGAGACGTTGATATTCTTGTTGATCGAACCCTTAAACGTCACCACTAATAAAATACGAGCTTCAGATTAGACTATCAATGAATCGAGTTTAGAAATCGCGAAAGAGTTCGTGGTCCTTACCTAGAAACACGAAAGGGATGTGATCAGGATCGGGATCGGGATCGAGAGCCGGCTGCGGGCGGCGCTCCCGCTTTCTTCTTTCTTCCTCTCTTTTTTTCCGCCTCGTGCGGGGCTGGTGA